AAAAAAAAAAAAAAAAAAAAAAAAAAAAGACTGGAAGTTTTTGTTTTCTGATGAATACAATTCTTTAATATGTTTACAATTTTTTCTGTTTTGTTAACAATAGCAGCAATACCACTGTGCTTAAAAATAAATAAATTACAGTGCTTAGTCTAATGAAAATGATTGGAGAATTTAGCTGTTAACAAACCACGACATTAGAATCGTATTTGTTGACATCAGATTCTCCTGTATCACAATAATTGCATTCACTGTAACAGAGGTGTTAAAATTGGCGAATAATACTGTTCTTTGCAAAAATCTGAGAACAAAAGAAAATTTCATGCATAAAGTTTTGTAAATTTATTTGTTCAGGATGATAAACATTGGGGGATAAATTTTGACAAATGACTGCAACAACTTTTTACCAATAGAATATGGATTGTTTTATTATTATTATTATTATTATTATTAGAATTCTTTTTTTTTGTTTTTGTTTTTAAAGAGCTAACAGCTTAATCATTATTTTTGAGCCTATAACCTCTCAGCGTATTGTTTTTGAGCACTAACCAACTGAGTGATGTAATCACTTATAATTCAGAAGAACCTAAACTTTTACTAAATTTTTTCCACTTATATATATATATTTTTTGTTTGTTTATTCTATTAGCTTTGTTGATGAATGTTTTTTAATGCTCTTTTTAAACTTTTTTTCTTTTGGCTTTTATTACCAAAAACCTTTTATGTTTTTGTTAATTTCGATCATAAAAACCACTAACTAAGCAATAAATTTGTTTAAACAACAGACAAAATACAACAATTAAAAATTTTTTTGGTTGAATTCAACTTAAGCATATTGCCTGTGAGTAAGCTATGATAAAGTTTTTCAAGTGGAATCAAAAAGTTTTTTTTTTTTTTGTTGAACATTAAGCAACTAAAAGCTTTAGATTGAAAAGCGGTTGCGAGAGCGATATAATTAATTTGTTTGGTCGTCTACTTACCATACCGCAACAGCATTAAATCAAATTACGCTGTCCAAACTTTTTGCAACTGTTCTCGTTTATTCAGCTTTACGATTCTTCTATACTGTAGGCTTTGTTGACTAACCAGTTTTTTTGGCTTCCATTAAGCAACTAATCTGGCAGATATTAATCCGGTTGGAATTAAACTAAATATTTTTGCGTTTACTGTAGTTTCATCAAACAACTATTACAACTTTATCTGATTTTCTAACGATCAATCGATTATTCGCGACTATTTTTTCGTATATAACTGAGAAAATCAAACTCGAACTTTTCCTTTTTCTTTTTCTCAGTAATTTACAGCAAAAAGTTTTTGTACCTTTATGAAATTGTTCGAAGTATAAGTGCATAGTGTTGGCGTAACTGAAGTTATCAAATTCTGCATAACTGTTATCATATTAAATTTTTGATTTGTTGTTGTAAGATTTGGAGCTTTATCGTTA